GGGAGGAAGTGACTGTCATGGAGGAGGACTTGCGACTGTGCACAGTTAAGCCTGCTGTTGAAGTAGACCGTCGGTTTTGCTTTGAGGTCGTTTCACCAACAAAGTGAGTCTGGTGGAAGGTTACCCAGCAATTCATTTTAATGTTTCTTGTATACAGTTTGCATCTTGCATCATAACCTTTATATTTGTTTGTTTATTCAGTCTTGTTCATCTTTGCCTCTACAACTATGTTTTAGTGCTTCCTGTACTACAGCCTAGAATATTTACTGCTGAAATTTGATTTGGCTAGACCCAAACCAATTCCTTTTGATTAACGAGTCCCTTCTTTTAACCACACCCACACTCATAGGTGTCACATGTTGCAAGCTGAGAGTGAAGAGAGCTATGACTCCTGGATCAGTGCACTACAGCGGGGCATTGGCCAGGCCCTCCAGCTGGGTCAGCATGACAAAATTACCAACTCAACTCCAGATTCCTCTCCATACCCCCAAAAAGGATCCCAAGGCACCAACACACCAGGGGACTCTCCAGCCTCCTCATCTCCTGCAACCACGCCCCAGGCACCCACGGCAAACAAGGCTATGTGAGATGCAGTGTCTTTGTAACATTAGCTGTGAAATAGGATTACTGTTAGTCTTAGTTGTTCAAAAAGACAAAAAGGTTTTTTTGTTTTTTTCCCCTTTTTTTTTTTTCTTTCTTTTCTTTTCTTTTTCTTTTTTTTTCTTTCCCTTTTTTTCCCCAAATTGACTGTAAATTATTTTGACACATGTTTATATTGTATATATAAGCTCTCTGTTTTGCTCCTCAAGGTTATGGCAGGAAATAATGAGGATTCCTGGAAATGACGCTTGTTGTGACTGTGGGGCTTCTAACCCAAAATGGGCATCAATCAATTTAGGAATAACTCTGTGTATTGGTAAGTTATTTATAGTTAGTGATGTTCAGTAGGCCTGTCTATAACCATGATTATAGTAAAGATATATTATGCAGAAAAAAATTAAAATCGAGAAATCAAATCTAGTTAAATCACCTTTAATGTATTTCTTCCTTTACAGAGTGTTCGGGGATTCACCGCAGCCTTGGGGTACATTACTCAAAAGTGCGGTCACTCACGTTAGATGCTTGGGAGCCTGAAGTGATAAAAGTGATGATAGAACTAGGTAATACAGTCATCAATCAAATATACCTAGCCACATATGCACCAGGAGGAGAAACTGGTCCACCTTTTGCTGCAAAGCCAGACAGTATAAGGTAAGTTTGCTTATTCTTATTCTTATTCTTCACACAGAAAATATTTACTCTGAAGATCAAAAAGCAAAACTATAAGTATAGATTTTCCCCAGGATTAGGTTCTTGAAAAAATCACATGTCGAAATTACCATATTGTGTTTAGGTGGCCAGCCTTTTGTGATATGTTATCTGATTTTACCACATTTTCACTTGAAGTTACTTGACCTCACATTTTGTATATATCTCTGTAACCTATCATGTCCTTTTGTATTGGCTCATTTCAATAAATTTCATACCTACAATTGATAAAGGAAACTGGTTAATCTATCATTAAGAAGACCTCAGTGAAAGATAATTTCTTGTATTATTACAACTAAGAATAGAAATAGTTTAATGAGATATGTAATCTTTTGCCCCAAAGGTCGGTGCGTGAAGAATGGGTGAAAGCAAAGTACGTTGAGCGGAAGTTCGTGAAACCACTTCCTTTGGCTTCCTCTGGCTCCACATACTCACTTCCAGCTCCAAAGTCTCAGGTATGTCTGTAATTTGTCTTATAATGATTTCGCACTAGTATAGCCTATTTTAAGCAGGATCGTATAAATCTCATGTTCTGCTTTCTCCACAGTTGCCCAGTAAGAAATCATGGAGCATTCCAAGAAAGAGGCGTCGCAACAAGAGAAGGAGTATCGGAAGTTCAACCCCAAGCAAGGGGTCCAGTGCTTCTAGTCAACAAGATCAAACGTCTACCCAAGAAGAATCTCAAACCATTACTCAGTCTAAGTCTTTGTACGTTCCCAGGTTGTTCCCTCTGCATCAGTCTGAGAGAGATTTGTTACATCGTGTAGTTATTGTACAAGCAACTTTTGTCATTACATTGGAACGCTAAGTGACATAATTGCTGACTCCCACAGGCCCACAACCCCAGCAGGCGAGACACCTTCTCCAGGGGAAGTCCTGCTTCTTGATGTAGACATACCTTGCACCCATCGAGACTCAGTGGAATTCCAGGATCTCTCAGTCTTAAGTGATGACAATTCAACAGATGGAGAAGATGCAGATGGACATGGTACTTTTACTTTCCTTTCCTATCATTTAGTGTGTGTGTGTGTGTGAAATTTTAAGAGGATTCAAGGTAGAGAAAATCTGATTTATTTCATATACCTTAATCACATCATTGATCATTATTCCCATCTTTCATTGTCTATTTACTTCATACTTCACTTTTTTCTTATTTAGAATGTTATCTTATAAACTTACACAGTTTTCTTTGTAATGGTTGATCTCTTTATTATGTAATCTTTAGTCACTTAATCCACAGATGATAATTATCACACAATTGTAGCTGTTATAAATGTACTGGATGTTGGATATTACATTTGTGATACCTCTCATTCAACCACTGCCAATCATAAAACTGCAGGAGTATACATAACATAGAGCAGCCTCCATTGTCATTGCATGTATACATACCCTTTGGTATGTTAGCCTTTTATGCCTCAATATTTTTCCATCCATAAAGTTTCTCATGAAATATGCCCTTGCCTGTGGACCCATAAGAATAAACCTGGGAGGGCAGCTTGCATGCTACTATCATTTTAACCCATTTCTGCTGGGTGAAGAAAATAAATGAAAATTCTACACTATGGAGATTAATGGCAATGATCCGACTTTTAGCGCGGGAGTTTGCTACATCAAGCCAAACATCCTGCTCGACGCGCTCTATCGCATCGCTGTGGCATACAGCCGTACTCTGCTGACCAAGCAGTTTGTTATGATGCCGCAAGGTGTGGCCCAGCAGAAACGGGTTAATACCTATTGCCCATAGGTAATTTCTTTAACAAATAAAATCTGTGGCTCTTATTATTCTCACTTCCATGAATCTTATCCTATATATGTGTTTTCTCCATATTTTCTTTCTCTTTCTTTTATCTTCCCCCCTACCCCCACCCTCCTTCACCATTCCCTCTTCACAGAAGCCTAAAAATACAGCCCTCATATCTTTCCTTCCAGCCCCAGAGGAAGCTTTTGCAAACTTAACCCCAGACATGCTGCTGTTCCGAGCATGTGAAGTACACAACTTGCCAATGATGAGCCACAGCCTGGCCTTAGGTGCAAACAAGAACTGGCACAACGCAGATGAGCGTGGACGGACACCTATGCACCAGGCAGTCAAGAGTGTGAGTACTTATCTATTATTCAGCCGATCAACAGTGGGCATTTTCTCTTGCATATTAACCCATTCGCGCCGGGTGTCACGTATACGTGACATGCCCAC